CAGGAGAGAGTAGATGAGGCACAGTGGTCAAAGAACAGAGAAAAACTGGAATAGATGCAACAGGACTAGAAATCAATGCATAAATATACAATGAATGGTGGAAAGAAACTATGAAATTGATATTCCCTCTAAAGCAGACACAATACGACACAATCAAAATGCCAACATAATCCAACCTGTCCTATTAAAAGTAACGTCGTTTTTGGCCGTTTGTCAGTATGACCGAAAGTGGACATAATTTGAAAATGAAAAAAATTAAAATAAATTTGGGATTTTTTTTCAACAACATTAAATTAAGGGTCCTCTGGTAGGTTAGGAGGGCAGGAAATTCTCACAAAGTTTCAAAACGTTATGAAAAACGTTAATTGAAAGTTTCCTCTCCTAACCTTACCGAGTAGGCCGGACGACTCAAACAGAAAACGGAACAGTACGTCCTTTTGTGAGTCGATTTCATTTCAAATTACGTCCACTTTTGGCTATAGCGGCGTATACGAGCGAAAAGTGACATTATTTTTATGAGGTTTTGCATAATCACACGAGAAGTAAATGACAGTGAGCAACCAAGTGACTAAGTTACGATAAAGGGGGAAGTGAATATACAGGAAATAATAATGAAATTTGCGAGGAACTTAGCATTAACTTCCATAGAGTGTTCACACCTGAACCTGACCCGCTCACAGTGTTACAATAGGAGGTTACTCTAGATGAGAGACTATTAGAGATTGAAGTAACAGCAGAGGAAGTTAAGAAACAACTAGTGTCACTAGACAAAACTAAAGCTATTGACCACATAAGAGAAGTGGCACCCTGGAAACACAAACCGAAACTGTCTCTATTTTCCTCTTGTTACAACTTGTAATAAAGTCGTTACATCTTGGCTTAACGTGTTTATGACGTATTAGAACGTTGTTACAACTTGATATATTGGTTGTTATAACTGGTTAGGAGGTGTTAAAACTTGTTCGAACGTTGTACCAACGTCGTAGTTTCGGTGTGTGTTTGGAGGGCAGAGCCCTTAGCGTACCTATAGCATTGATTTTTAATGAGTAACTTATAACGGGGGAGTTGCCAGGCTGCCGGAAGAAGGCAAATATAGTATCAAATTACAAGAAAGGAGAGCGATAAGCAACCCGTCCTCTTAAAAATATCGTCACTTTTGGCTCGTATGCGCGCTATGGCCAAATTTGGACGTAATTTGAAATGAAATCGACTCACAAAAGTGACGTTATGTTCCGTTTTCTGTTTGAGTCGTCCGGCCCACTCGCATAGGTCAGAAAAGGAAACTTTCCAATTATACTTTGAAACTTTATGAGAATTTCCTGTCCACCTAACCTGTCAGAGGACCCTTAACTTACTGCTGTTGAAAAAAAATCTCAAATTTATTTTATTTTTTTTTCATTTTCAAATTACGTCCACTTTCGGCTATACGGGTAAACGGTCAAAAGCGACGTTATTTTTAAGAGGACAGGTTGCACATCGAGGCACTGAACAGCAAACCAGTGTCACTGACAAGCATCCCCAATAAAATACTCGAAAGAATAATAAGGATTAGCTAGTTACACATCTGGATAGATTTAGACATGTCAACAATTAGTCAAAACAATTAGACATGTCAACATCTAGTCAAAACAATTAGACATGTCAACATCAACATGGCTGTAGGGAAGGAAAATAGTGCTTGGCGACCCTACTGGAGTTTGTTGATAAAGTATCTTAAATAAGGCAGGACAGAGAAGGTTAGGCAGATTGCGTATTTCAGGAGTGGCAACTGACCTTTGACACGGTTAAAGAGTCAAAAAAAGGGCCCAAAGTCCAAAAAAAAGGGTTCACGCCCGAAGTCAAAGAGTGGGTTCACGCCCGTACAAAGTAACTACAGTACCTCACGAGAGATTACTACACACTCGAGAGAGAGAGAGAGAGAGAGAGAGAGAGAGAGAGAGAGAGAGAGAGAGAGAGAGAGAGAGAGAGAGAGAGAGAGAGAGAGAGAGAGAGAGAGAGAGAGAGAGAGAGAGAGAGAGAGAGAGAGAGAGAGAGAGAGAGAGAGAGAGAGAGAGAGAGAGAGAGAGAGAGGGGGGAGGGGGGGGCAGGCGGGAGTAAGCAGAAGGGCACAGACATGTATGAAGAACTACCTAACAGTGAGGAATCAGAGAGTAACAGTGAGGGGCGAGAGATCTGAATGTCGTAGGGTAACAAGCGGAGTACCTCAAGGCTCGGTGTTGGGACCCATATTATTTCTCATTTATATAAATGACATATCTACAGGAGTTGAGCCTTATGGGTAAATTTGACCGGGCAATGCAAACCTAATGAAAACGAGTTGTGACAGATAAGGATTGTATGATTCTCCAGGACGACTTAAACAAGCCGAAGAGTTGATCTTGTAAATGGCTGCTTGAAACCAACACCTGCAAGTGTAAGGTGATGGAAATGGGAATAGGCACCATGAGATCAAAGAGGCCAATACACGATGACGGGAAACTACCTTCATATAACGACTAGAGAAAAGACCCTTGGAGTGGACGTAACACCAAACCTAACTCCAGAGGCTAAATTGAGTAGGATAATGACGGCAGCGAAAATCAGAGCATCCTTCAGGAAAATAAATAAGGAGGCATTTAGATCGCTGTCCACCGCCTATGTTAGAAGCATCAGAGTACGCCGCACCGTCATGGAACTCCCACTTAAACACATAAAGAAACTTGAAAAGGTTTAGAGGATTGCAACAAGGCTCATGCCATAATTGTGAGGGATAGAATATGTAGAGAAACTCAAGGAACTAAATCTGAGTGAGTGAGAGGGGAGACATGATAGAGATGTATAAAATACTTAAGGAGATTGCCAGAGTGGAAATGTTCACAATGAATATCAATTGAATAAAGTCACTTAAGGAAGTTTGAGACTCAGAAGAGTCACAAGAGATGACAAAAAGTTTTTTTAGAGTAAGAGTAAGGGCAGAATGATATAAAGGGAAGATAATTATCAGGGGAAAAACGCCAAGCCATTACGACTATATAGCACTGGGAAGGCGTCAGGATAAGGATTTGGGATGGGACGAGGGGGGGGGGAGGAAGAAATGGTGCCCAACCACTTGGACGGTCGGGGATTGAACGCCGACCTGCATGAAGCGAGACCGTCGCTCTACCGTCCAGCCCAAGTGGTGAGATTGTAGAAGCGAATTGATCACTCCATTGATCACTTTAAAAGTAGACATAATGAAGAAATAGGTCAGGAGTAACAGTATTATACAACCTGAGGATAGAAAAGTGGAGTCCAAGAGCTAACGCCCGGTCCTGTTGGCACAAGTAACTAACTATAACCTTCTTGTAACCACGTGGGCGCCTGACAGCTGGGTGGACAGCGCTTCGGATTCGTAGTCCTGAGGTTCCGGGTTCGATCCCCGGTGGAGGCGGAGACAAATGGGCAAAATGTTTCTTTCACCTTGATGCCCCTGTTACCTAGCAGTAAATAGGTACCTGGGATTTAGACAGCTGCTACGGGCTGCTTCCTGGCGGGGGTGTAACAAAAAGGAGACCTGGTCGAGGACCGGGCCGCGGGGACGCTAGGCCCCGAAATCATCTCAAAATAACCTCAAGAAAAGATATGGAAGATCAAACATTCATAGAAATAATGGACAATGAATTTGATATTATTCACTTTATAGTCCGAAAAAATATTCAAATTCATTCACTCATTTATTTTAGTTTAAAACTAAACATAAATATTCCTAGGCTTAGTATAGTCCATATATGTACTATATTAGGCCTCATATATCGTGTATTAGACCTAGGAACCTTTCGAAGTATACCTGATCAACCAGGCTGTGAGTGAGTCATACGTCAGGCTGCGAGCAGCTGCGTCCAACAGCCTGGTTGATCAGTCCAGCAACCAGGAGGCCTGGTCGACGACCGGGCCGCGGGGACGCTAAGCCCCGGAAGCACCTCAAGGTAGGTTGGAAGGTTAGGTTAGGTTAGGGTTTTCTTTGCAACATCAGTTCAATAACTTTTCCGGTTTGTCCAAATTCAATAGTACCGATTTCTACTTTCTAATTGTCCTCATCTTTACTATATGTACTACCTATACATGAGGCTGGACTATATTCTGGACATAAACATCATTGTGTCCAGGACAACAATCAGGACAAAATTAAATCATTTTCAGTCCACTTTGTTAATTTCTTATTCAGTTTTGACCTCACTTTTCGGTCCCGTAAACTCTGAAACCGAAATTACCTCATTATGAGGAAGTAATTAACACTTTTATGTTTTTTTGTTGGACTGGTGGATGTATATTTTTGTGCCTCACATTCTTGCTCTTTCTTCAGCGTTACTTTCCACAGTCTCATTCTCACTTTCTCTCATGTTCATGTCTACTCATTCTCACCCTCTCTCTCATGTTCATGTCTACTCATTCTCACCCTCTCTCTCATGTTCATGTCTACTCATTCTCACCCTCTCTCTCATGTTCATGTCTACTCATTCTCACCCTCTCTCTCATGTTCATGTCTACTCATTCTCACCCTCTCTCTCATGTTCAAATCAACTCATTCTCACTCTCTCATTCTCACGGTGACTGTGACACAGTAGAGAGCGCACAAATTGGGGCCTGGTAGCCTGGTGGATAGCGCGCAGGACTTGTAATTCTGTGGCGCGGGTTCGATTCCCGCACCAGGCAGACACAAATGGGCAAAGTTTCTTTCACCCTGAATGCCCCTGTTACCTAGCAGTAAATAGGTCCCTGGGAGTTAGTCAGCTGTCACGGGCTGCTTCCTGGGGTGTGTGTGGGGAAAAAAAAGTAGTTAGTAAACAGTTGATTGACGGTTGAGAGGCGGGCTCAAAGAGCAAAGCTCAACCCCCGCAAACACAACTAGGTGAATACAACTAGGTGACTACAAAGAACACCACATAGCAACATAGCATGTTATTGTTTTAAATTTAACTACTCAGAACGAAATATCCATGTAGCACGGGCTATGGCGATCCCGTAAAAAAATAGCATGTTACCTCGGCCTTCATGACGCGGTCGGCGAGAGAGAGGTGAGGCTGGTGATCTCCGTGCTTGCACGCCCCTACGCCCGTGCTGGTCTTCTCCTGCTTCTTCTGCACGCCCACGCCGCCCGTACCCAGCTGCTTCTCCCGCGTGTTCTGGGCGAGGGCGGGCACCGCCCACAGCGCCACCAGGAGGCCGAACAGCTTGGGCACTAGACTTGCCTTCATCGTGGTGAAGGGCGCCTCAGATCCGCTTAGGTTGACCTGTGAGAGGATTTGGACGAGGTTAGAGGGGGGGGGGCACTTGTGAGGTGTGTGTGTGTGTGTGTGTATGTGTGTATGTGTGAGTGTGAGAGTGAGAGTGTGTGTGTGTGTGTGTGTATTTATGTATGTGAACGTATCAGATATAATTTTTCTTAGAAAATTTATTTTAATGAGGAATAATAACATCTTCATGTCTTTTCAACACACAAATATTACTAACCAAAAATTCCCAAAACAAAAAAAATATCAATAAAAGGTTCTACGATTGATAAAAATCATTATCAATAAAAAACACCGAAACAATGCGACTAACAAAGCAGACCCAAACAACCCAGTATTCAGAGAACGTGGCTGAAGAAGTTACAGAGTTGCGGTTCGAACACGTTCGAGAATAATTCGAACATTGTGAATCCTTGGAATAACGAGCATTGGGTCTTTGTCGACGAGGACGGGCTCAAGTCACAGCCCCGCTCCCGTGCCAGGTAAGTCCACTACGGGCTCACCATAGCCCGTGCTACTTGGAACTTTTTGTTCCAGGTAGCGAATCTTAAACAACCACAACAACATCGGGCTAATTAATATGTGTTAACATCAGAGTCAATAACTCTGATGTTCATCTTTTCTGACCTCATATAAGGAATATTGACCGACTCCTGGGGCCAGATTCACGAAGCAGTTACGATAGTGCTTACGAACGTGTCCATCTTTCCTCAATCTTTGACGGTTTTGGTTACATTCAATAAACAGTTTACAAGCATGAAAACTTCCCATTCAACTGTTGTTATTGTTATAAAAAGCCTCCTGGTGCTTCGGAGCTCATTAACTGTTTAATAATTGTAAACAAAGCCGCCAAAGATTGAGAAAAGATGTACAAGTTCGTAAGTGCTTGCGTAACTACTTCGTGAATCTGGCCGCAGAATCTTAAACTCTAGTCCGACAAATGAAAGAGTGAATCATTGGTTCAATTAATTAAAGGGCAATCCTGTAAGATACTTTACAGTACCTGTAAGGTACCTTACAGTGCCTGTAAATCCTGTAAGGTAACCTTAATGTGTTCATTTAATCCTGTAAGATATTGTGAGGTATTTCCCACGACTCGAATATTACAAATCAAAGTCTTAAAATGATAAACTACACCAGATCTGAGACCAAAATGTGAAAGACTAATAGGCTTTATATAAATTCCAATATTCATTGAGGTTATTCATTGGTAATTCAATGGTAACCGTAGCTTGAAAAATCAGTTGTGACTGGCTAAAAATGTTTACAAGTCCTTTAGAAATATGATTACTAACAGTACAATATAAGAACGTTATATATATATATATATATATATATATATATATATATATATATATATATATATATATATATATATATATATATATATATATATATATATATGTCGTACCTAGTAGCCAGAACGCACTTCTGAGCCTACTATGCAAGGTCCGATTTGCCTAATAAGCCAAGTTTTCCTGAATTAATATATTTTCTCTAATTTTTTTCTTACGAAATGATAAAGCTACCCATTTCATTATGTATGAGGTCAACTTTATTTTATTGGAGTTAAAATTAACGTAGATATATGACCGAACCTAACCAGCCCTACCTAACCTAACCTAACCTATCTTTATAGGTTAGGGTAGGTTAGGTATCCGAAAAAGTTAGGTTAGGTTAGGTAGGTTAGGTAGTCGAAAAACAATTAATTCATGAAAACTTGGCTTATTAGGCAAATCGGGCCTTGCATAGTAGGCTCAGAAGTGCGTTCTGGCTACTAGGTACGACATATATATATATATATATATATATATATATATATATATATATATATATATATATATATATATATATATATATATATATATATATATATATAATTAATATCCTGAGTTTTTTACATTTTAACAATGGATGAGAATTGTAGAATTTTTCTTAAAATTTCATGTAAAACATTTTGCTTGGAGAAGCACTCGAGTAATAAGACCTTCTTAATACTCTGATCACAACATCAAATAGTTTATAGTAAAAATAAAAGGTTGAAAACTCTATTTATTGTTATTTTTTTAATAATATTTTACTTTAAATTGCTTGGGACAAACACATAAATAAGGAAGCTAGAGTCATTGTTGGTTTATGGAAGAAATAGTGATAGATTGACTGATAGATTGTGATAGATCTCGACTATCAGTCATTAAAGTGTCAAGAAATGCTATTTTAGAATTTACCTCAATTTCTTAAGTAAATCTCATGTTAAAATGTTTAGATTATTAGTAAAAAACATGACGGATTTTATTTTATTTTGATTAATTGGATTACAGATCAAAATCCGGATTTTAATCCATCATTAAAAATATGAAAAGATCGGGATCAACGTCCCCGTTCACAGTCAAGGGACCCCAGGCTCAATCCTTGGAGAGGACAGCAACGGTTGGGCACGCGCCCTCTCACCTGCTACTTCTGTTCACCTAGTAGTAAAATTGGTCCCCGGGAGTTACGCAACTGTTGTGGGTGGCATCCTGGGGAAAAGAGGGAGGTTCAGTAGTTGGTCTAAGGGAGACCTCGATAATCTCAATTAGTTAGAACGTTTAAAGTCGACTTTAACTTTCAGTAAAGTTCAACCGATATTAAATATAAACTTTGGCAATCATTCAAATACGTCATTATCGTGATAAATGTACCTGAATTTACCTGAGGTGCCCCCTTAACACTCTAGTGGCCTCGACGAGGACAGGAAGCCGATGGCTTGTCAAAGGAAATTTATTTTTGTTACGGCATTTATTTTAGCAAATAAAATCTAACACTTTTTTATTAGATGTCACTGAGTCTAGAGCCACAACTGCAGCTCTAATAAAATCTACTCTGTATTTTTTATTTACTTTCAATACCGGAGGGACTCATATTGTATCACAGCCGGCTGTCTGTCTGTCTGTCTGTCTGTCTGTCTGTCTGTCTGTCTGTCTGTCTCTGTTCGAGGTGGAAGGCCAGAAGCCAGATTCACGAAGCAGTTACGCAAGCACTTACGAACGTGTACATCTTTCCTCAATCTTTGACGGCTTTGGTTACATTTATTAAATAATTTACAAGCATGAAAACTTCCCAATGAACTGTTGTTATTGTTATAAACAGCCTCCTGGTGCTTCGGGGCTCATTAACTGTTTAATAATTGAAAACAAAGCCGCCAAAGATTGAGAAAAGATGTACAGGTTCGTAAGTGCTTGCGTAAGTACTTTCGTGAATGTAGCCCCTGGTGCTTCCAGCTAGTAAATAATTATCAAAAGAAAGCACCAAGCCTGCGGAGGGACACTATGTACCGACGCTCGCGGCAAGCTGCACTAAATTTTTACCGGTAATTTGCTGATGGGACTGCGAACGTGCCCAGTACCAGAGCGTCGGGATTGGCATGAAGTAAAAGCCTGCCATCTGACATTTTGTCATAGTTATCTTGAGTTATCTTGACTCAAGACCAGGACTATCTTAACTCAAGAGATATCTTGACTTATGAGATAAGAAAAATAAGAAAAATCTCGCCCTACTTATACGACATGACTCTGAATTATTATTTTTATTATTATTACAATTATATTCGATATATCGAAAAACTTAAAGCGCCTATCATGTCAAAATGATATAAGCAATTCCTTAATGTTTTCCCTATAAACTCTAAATTAAGTCTGATGAGAAAAATCAGTAGAAGCCATCATAAGGATTCGAACCTGTGCACTTTGGTACTCCCAAGTACACGGCCTAACCAAGTACACGGCCTAACCAAGTACACGGCGTAGCCAAGTACACGGTCTAACCAAGTACACGGCCTAACCAAGTACACGGCGTAGCCAAGTACACGGTCTAACCAAGTACTTACGTAATAATGTGTAATTATGTGTAATAAGTGTAATTACGAAGCAATAAGATGCTTATCTTAACATACTAAGAAGGTTAGGTAAGGTCGGTGTTTTCTATGAAGCTTTTCAAGGTAAACTAGTATGTTTACTATGTCACATATGCACGTATTTAATAAGTCAATATTGACTGTAAGAAAGTGCGAGAACGGGTTGTATAGTCATAATAGCCTGGCGCTTTCTCCTGATAGTCCCTTTCGGGAGACATTGTATTTTGAAGCATAAATCCCTTAAAACCAAACAAAAAACTGATGTACTACCAATCACAGCAACCCCCCTAAAATTAACGTGATGTCCCGTTTTCTATTGTGGGTTCTAGGGTTAGGTTAAGTTAGGGCAAGTTTAGTACATTATTTTAGTGACGTTGTGAAGGCTCGAGAGGGCGAGACAGGAAGTTGAGACTGAGACCAACTGGAGTCACAACTTGAAAAACAATTCGTGAGACAATTCTAGTTTTTTAATTGTAGTTGCGTCATATGTTTGTCATGGATCAGATGGGGCCCAGGAGCTAAGCCTACCAAGCAACAGGTGCATGTAGGTACGAACATATAGAATAGAACACCAAAATTAACCTTTCAAACCACCACATAATAAATCCCACCACTCCCTTAATTTATTGAATCCCTTAATTTATTGAATCCCTTAATTTATTTATTTAAGTCATCAATATTTAACATTAACCTGTAAGTCGCTGCTGTTGCCCAACCACTTGTGCTGGACGGTAGAGCGACGGTCTCGCTTCATGCAGGTCGGTGTTCAATCCCCTCAACCGTCCAAGTAATTGGGCACCATTCCACCCCCCCTCCCCGTCCCATCCCATCCCAAATCCTTATCCTGACCCCTTCTCAGTGCTATATAGTCGTAATGCCTTGGCGCTTTCTCCTGCTAGCCCCCTTCCCCTTTAGGCCGCTGCTGTTCACGCTGACTCACCAAACAACCAGAGGCAAACAGCTTCATTAAGCTGCTGGGAGAAACTAGCATCAGCATTATTAACATGGGCGAACTGTGGTGAAATTACATTGCTAACTTGGGTGTGGGACGCTGACGAGGGCTTAATGTGGGTGCTGATTACGTTGTGGTATCAGGGTGCTGGGAGAG